GTGTCCCATTTCAGGGCTGTCCCCATGTCCCCAGTGCCACCTCCATCGGTGTCCCCGTGTCCCCAGAGCTGTCCCCGTGTCCCCGTGTCCCCACTGGTGTCCCCGTGTCCCATTTCAGGGTTGTCCCCATGTCCCCAGTGCCACCTCCAGCAATGTCCCCGTGTCCCCACAGGTGTCCCCGTGTCCCCACAGGTGTCCCCGTGTCCCCAGGTGCCACCTCCTCCATCCTCATCCCCGTGTCCAGAGCCGCCATCTTCCTCCTCCTCCTCCTCCTCCTCCTCCTCCTCGCCGCTGTCGCCGCTGTCGCCGCTGTCGCCGCGTCCCCTCAGGACCCTGAAGGGCTCCCCGTGCCCGGGCACGATGACGTCAGCGGTGGCCACCAATCGCCTCCGGCTCCTGCTTTGCTCTCGCGGCTCCTCGCTCATCGCTCGCCACTCCCGCGCGTCCCCTCGCCTCTCGAACGCGTCCCCGGCCACCGCCACCGTGCCCAGCGACGTCCCCTGGGCCACCAGGCTCACGTGGGCTCGCGTGTGCCCGGGTGTGGCCACCACCTCCAGGTGCCCGGGGTGCAGCACCAAGGGCGCGCCCTGCGCTAGCCCGTGGGGCAAGTAAAGGCCCTCGCCTCGGCTCAGGTCAAAGCCCACGAGCAGCGTGGCTTGCGGGAATAAATTCAGGTTGCCCACGTGATCCGAGTGGCCGTGGGTGACCACCACGTGCGTGACGTCACCGGTGGCCACTCCTTGGCTTTGTAGTAGCCCGGGGAGGCGATGTCGTAGCCAAGGTCCCCCCGTGTCCACCAGCACGGTCAGGGGGCCACCGGACACCAGAGTGATGGAGCCGTCGGCGCGGGAGGGGCCAGCGGGGCTGGGGCTGTGGTAGCCAACCTGGAGAACCCGCACGGAATAGAGCGGGCCCGGCACGGCCAGCGAGGCCAGCGGGGCCGTGCGGAAACGGAGCGGCATTTCTGGGGGGCGGGGGGGCTCAAAAATGGGGTTTAAAGGGTTAAAAATGGGGTTTA